TGGACCTGTACCTGAAAATTTTTAGGTCCATTTTATAGGACTCGGACCCTACCCACGAGTCCAAAGGCTGGACTCTACTCGCTGGTCCAAAGGTTGGACCTATAAACGGACCCATGTTAGGTATACTCGATGGGTCTCGAGTCGGATCCAGGTCCATTGCCACCCCTAGATGATATCGATATCCCCACAGCTAAGACCTTCACGACCAACCATCACAATCTTTAACCGTCTTTAAACCCTACTCTGATACTAAATTGATGCAGGTACGAAAGCATATAAATTAAATTTCCCATTTTTTTTAACCTTAAACAAGTAAAGTCAATAATATTAGAGAAAAACATAGTCGTAAATCAATCCATGAGAAGATTTTTCTTCTTTCAAATTCATGTCAATAACATAAGCATCATAAAATGTGACTTCGAACCTTTTATAAGCATACGAAACCCTAAAATTAACTCGAGATGCAAGTAAATATTTAAGAATCTAAAATACCTCTAAACAATATTAAAATTCTAACAATAGCCCTATGAGCAGTAATGTGCGAACAATACATGTGAAGAGTAACAGGCACAATATCCGTATAAAACTTAAATTTTTTTTAAAAAACTTTAAACTAAAATTAAAATATATAACTCTTGAAATTAAACAAAAATTTAAAATTAGAAGAGCTGTGTCTTACATCAATGCTCCAAACTTGGATGTTTTTGTGACAAATAAAAAGGAGAGAGTTGAGTGGGTAGAAATTACAAATGAAATTGCAATGCAAATGTGGGTAGATTATGATACTCATCATAATTGTTTTCTTTTTTTATGAGTCGCATAATCATGTAATTTGTTAGTCTGATGACCACCATAGTTTGTATATTTTTCTAACAAATTTTTTTTTATCTAATTTCACTTTAGAAATTTAATTCTAATATATAGATGATTTACTATTGGGAAAAGTTTATGTAGAGCCTAGGCTCTAAATAATCAATTAGAGCCTACCTGAAAATTTTCACTAGAAGAGGATGTTTTGGTGCCCAAAGATCCTCAAATTGATCGTCACAACATCAAGATGCATGGACTTGAGAAGAAAATGGATTTTAAGTTTTGGAAATAGTACATCTTGTAATGCATTTTTGGATCATCAATTTTTAAGTTATTCAAGTTTTCATAGATCTGCTCGATCTACACTATTTTTTAAGCTTTAAATTTTATAATTAAAACTAAAAATATATTTTAAGACTAGTCAAAGATTTCCTGTATTGAAATTACATTTCTCAACATTATTTGAAGGTGAGCTCTAATTTAATTGTTTGGAGCCTTAGCTCTATACAAACTGCACCATTTACTATTTGATACCTTGCTTAAATGTATTTTCTTTTGAAAGTCCTAATTTCTAGACTGGCATATGCCATTGTGCATAGGTGTCACACATGCGTGACGAATGTATTCAAACCATAGTTAGAAAGTCTGGGAATAACAAAATATTGGCAGACCAAAATATCGGTAATTAATCAATTTTATTTCAAAAAGTCAGAGGAAAAAAATTTAGGTAAAAAAATACAAATCGCCAAAAAACAAGGTAAGTTATAGAATTGTGGATTATTTCCGACTTGGTTAAAAAAAATATAGTGAAATAATCAAATATGTAAAGATGACACACTATAGGATTATGATTTCCAGCTATTGTGTAGATATATTCAAGCTATTGAACGATAACCGTATAGCCTTACTAATGTTATTAGAACACTTGAAATTTGTTTGTTGAAACTAGCAATAAATCCAGCAACAATGTTTACTCTATTGTCACAACACAAGACATATTGTAGATTTTTTGGGAGCATAAAATGAATCTATAACATCAATACTAAACACACGAACTAATTAACAAATAACATGAACTGTGAACCAAGGTATAGGATTATTTGTCACCGAAAAAAAGCAAAAAATGCTCTCGATATAGCATTGCAGTTAATTAAAAGGAAATACAAAGACCCAAATATATAAAATAGTGGTCCTTCCAAAATGCTATGTTGTATGCACCAATGAAAAAAGAAAAAGAAATTAATCAAACTTCACTATACATAAAAAAAGCAACAAAATGCTTAAGCAAATTTGAATCTTGCACTAAATTCCTAGCTACCTAAATATTTAATATCATTGAATATCTTTCTTGCTCTTTATAAAAATGTTAAGGGTTTGAAGAAGAAAAAAATATTTTTCAATTGGTTACTCTTCTTCTAATTCTACCTATTATTTTGAGATATACAATTGTTTTGATTACTATTTGTGGAAATATATTGCTTGTACTTTTTTCGTATATTTTTTTTAGGGAACTCATTAATGAAGCTTTTTATATAATTTTTTTGTTAAATCAAGATTCTTAATTTACTTTCACTGTTAATCTACTTATCTTTAAACCAAAATTCAATAATATTAAGTTAATGAAGAAATAAAGTTATAGGAAAGAAGTTTTTTTGAGAAGTTTTTTTGGAAAAGATAAAATATGGATTTCATTAAAACAACACGATTACTTAAAAGACCTTTTTAAAAATTTAGAATTCTTAAAGGATTTCAAAAAATCAAGTTTTAAGAGGAGACTTGCGAGCTATGATTTAAACTGCAATAATCCTCAAAAGTAGCTTCTTGAGTAGTCTCTAAAAGGTTCCAATATTGTAAATATGGATGGTCACTATCAGGGCTTGGTTAGGCCTTGGTCGTTTTAGGGCTGGCCCATCCTACTCGGGTTCAGAGAGGCCATGGTCTAGGTCTCCAAATTCAATAAAAATAAACAAAAGAAAAAAAAAAAGAAATAAAAAAAGAAGGTAAACAATCTCCTGCTGAATCGTACCAAAGTCGACCTATATTATGACCCTAGTGCAGGCGTGGCTCTGTTCTCAAGCCATGATGGCTAGTTTTTTAAAGTTGTGCGAATGGGGTTGGGTCCGGTCCAACTGGCCCCTAATTGGTCAAAGAGACCACGTAACACGTGAGCCTTTCGCCCCATCACGGATTGATTGTCGAAAATCTCACATGATGACCTTAACACCTTGCATGTGACCCCATCTCAACCAACTCATTGTGAAAAATGCTGTTGCAACTCCTTATATATGCATTGTTCGTCGTACATCTCTTCGATGTGGGACAATTCTCAATGCCCAACGTTGCCAATGTTATAAATAGCTCTCTCTCATATGTTATAAATACCTCTCTCTCTCAATGAGTCATATCTATAATGGTGTATAATAGTGTATATGTATAAAATAAATTTACATATTTTATGTATAAAATAAATTACATACTATATGTAAATATTTTATAAATAGATATCTCTCTTATACAATGACATCTATCAAATGAAATGATCTATAATACTTTTTAAGATTAATTTTATTTATTTATTTTTAAGATTTAATCATTTTTAACATTATATATATATATACAGTAATGATCCTATGAGACCCTCCCACACTCATGTGTGTAAGATCCCAAAAGATCATCATTAAATTTGGTATAGATCTCTAGAAAAGTCTAGTCCCACACCCATGTGATAACTTTTCTAGAGATCAGTGCCAAATTTAATAGTGATCCTTTGGGGTCCTACACACATGGGTGTGGGAGGGTCCTATAGGATCATTACTCATATATATATATATATATATATATATATATATACACACACACACACAACATATATATAATTAATCTTTAATTACATATAATTACAAAAATAAAATTTTATATAATAATTTGTAAAAATTAACATAATTATATGAAATTGTTGTTTGTTTATGTTAATAACTTAAATATAATTTTGCTAAATTTATGTCAATATAATTATTTTTATATACACTAAATTATACGAAAGTTTTTTCTAATATTTTTAAATTATTTTTGATGTAATATTATAATACTATATTATAATTGATAGTTATAATCAGGGATTTAAAAAACGGCGAGTCGACCCGGTGGTGGTAATTAAATTATATGATTAAAAAAGGAAAACAATTATTAAAAATAATAATTGGGTGCTCACCACCCCTATCTTCCACCAAAAAGAAATCTGAATTTACCTATTCAAATAAAACATGAATATTCTATTAGATTATTATCTCACTGGATTATTTCATTATATGATTAATAATTAATTAAGTAGTTAATTGAGATTAAAAATTAGTACTAGCTCATATGATATTAAGAAAATAAAAAATAATACTAGTTCTAGTTTATTGAATATTAAAAAACATTAGTTTAGATGATATTTTAAGAGAAAAAAATAACATTAACTCATACCACTTTAGAATTTATTTCTAGGTTGATAACTAAATCTTTTATTTTATTTATTTTAATTTATTTACATTATAAATTATGTAATATATTATTTTTTTCACAGGTGTCAATAATACATTTTAAATTAGATGATATTATAAGATATTTTGGATTTGTTATTATTTGTATAATAAAATAACTATAAAATGTGAACCAACATTATCAATTTCAGTATATAATATTATAATTAGTTAGCTTGTAATAATTTTGGATTATAGTTAGTTAGGTTGTAATAATTCGGGTTTTTTTTAACAGATTAGGGTTTTTTGTCAATTTAAGATTTTGGTGGGAATTTTTTTATCGATTTAATCAATTCTTTAGTGTAGTCTATGTATGATTATATACTTCATCCATGATAATTATATGATTTTTTTATTGTGGGATGCAAATTCAATGATTAACATAAGTTCATAAAGGAAAAAAACATCTCAATATTTATATATTAATAAAAAAATAAAAATTAATAAGGTAGTATTACTATTTTTTATTGAATTTTTAAAAAATAATATTTATAATAAATTTTAATATTTTTTTTAATTTTTTTAAAATTTAATACGACTCATTCGACAGATTTATAACTCAAATAACCGATTCACCGATTCACATATTCACCGATCCGAATGAATTCTTGGGTGCCCCACGCATTTCTTAAACCACCCGTCGGAACAATCAACGACGTGCTCTGATTTCATCCGCTTGAAACAAATTAAAAAATACAAGAACACCGCTCGCCTCTTTCTCACTCTCATTTCTAAATTTCCCTTCAATGGCAAAAAAACTGAGCGAAAGTTGAGAGTGAGATAAAAAAGTGAGAGAAATGGAGGTCAATTCTCTGATGTGGTTTAGGAAGGGGCTCCGGATCCATGATAACCCAGCCCTAGACTATGCTACCAAGAATGCCAAGCACCTTTACCCTGTATTTGTACTCGACCCTCTTTACCTTAACCCAGATACCTCTGCCTTCTCACCTGGTTCGAAAAAATCGGCTCTCAATCGAATTCAATTCTTGCTCGAGAGTCTTTCCGATCTCGACTCCAGCTTGAAAGCACTTGGTTCTCGTCTCTTGCTTTTTAATGGAGACCCTGTTCATACCATTAAGCGACTTTTGAACCGGGTAATTTGTTTTTATATTTTTTTTTTTGAATTCTGGTATATTTTTTCGGTTTGATATGCTTTTTGGTTCTGATTCTTTGATTCTCTGTTGAATGCTTGTAGTGGAATATTGGGAGGCTTTGTTTTGAATTTGACACTGAGCCATATTCACTAACTCGGGATGGTCAAGTCCAGGTTTGTGGCATTCTTTCTCCTTTTCTAGAAACTAAGTTCTCTGTGTATTTTCTTAGAGATAATTTATTAGAAATAATTTGTACTTGGTCGAACAAATGCAACCATCCAATTTCACATCCAACTGTTAGAGTTAATTGTGGCCTTGTACCAAAGCTAAATTGTCTCATTCTATATGTATATTTTCTTTTATGTCTGACTTTTTTTTTTTGGAAAAATTATCAGAAGAGTATCTAAGAGATGAACTAGTTAACAACTTACCCACTTTTTAAATTTAATTTCAAGAAGTTCATCAAAGGACACTAATCATGAGTTACAATGGTTGATATTTAGTTGTATATTTGTAAAGGAAAAAGGCAGAAACCTTATAAAGTGAAGTATACCTGAAAAATCCACTGAAAAATACACTATAGAAGTGAGGTGCGACTCAAAAATCCACTAAAAACTATCCAATGGAAGTGGGGTGCACCTTAAAAATCCACTAAAAAAGGTTGTTCGAATGTCAAAAAACTCTACAATTGATCATCTCGACCTTGATTTGTATAGTTATGAAAGAAAAATATATTTCATGTCTTAAAAATAATGCATCTTGTTACACATGATCTAGACCGTCCATTTTCAAAAATTTCGAGTTCTTATAGATCTGCTTGTTCTACAGCATTTTCTGAGATTTAAATTTCATATTAGGGGTGAAAAGATACTTTTTTCCATCACGAGGATTTTTGGCGCCGAACAACGTTTTGGGTGGACTTTTGAGGTGCACCTTACTTATACAGTATAAGGTTGATGCCTTGTAGAAACTTATAAATGGATGAAATGTTAGTTGAAATTTTAAGTTTATTTTGATAAATTTCTCAATTATTTTTCTGTGTACGATGCGTGATGTAATTGTTGGAGCATATTCCCATCTACCTTGATTTTCAGTTTATAGCAGCATAGAATGGTGATTATATAAAGATAATGGTGATATGTATCAGTAGTGGCATCTTCCATGGAACCTATTCCCATCCACCTTGATTTTCAGTTTATAGCAGCATAGAATGGTGATTATATAAAGATAATGGTGATATGTATCAGTAGTGGCATCTTTCAAGTTTGTTTAGCTCTCATGTAGTACATGCATCTTCAATGTAGATGAGTACGAGTCCATATACATACATATGCGCTACAAAATGGGATCAATGATCATGGAATCCCCTTAGAAGAAGGGAATATTAATCAATAACAATTTGATAGTTGACAACTCAGAAACCAGCTCTCACAGCTCCTTGTCCAAAGTGCCCCATTAAATAGAAGTTGATACAACCCCAAGCTGCTCCTTCTTGCCTCTTCCGATATGGTATTTTTTCAAGCACAAAGAAAGAGAGAATGAGTTCTCGACTGTGATCTTGATCAATATGAAACCCAAATTAGTAAGTTATATTATGACCAGAAGACAAACAGCTTATGACTATTAGAAAGTCTTGACAAACAGCTTATGACTATATTCCCTTCTGTTTCCCATCTTTTCTCATCAACAGAGCATGCATGCATAGGTGACTAGAGATTGCAGTTCATGATTTTGAGAATATCCATAAAGCTATCGTATCATGTAATATTCAGATTGTAGCTTACCCTATTCACCTTTTGGTTTATTCTTGTCTGTTATCCTATGGATATTTTAATCTTTTTACACTCTTACCCCCGTAGGACCTGTCATTTGTCAATGAGAATCTGTTATTCTCTCAGACCTCCCGAGCATGAACCAAACTCAGATAACCTAAGGTTTCTGTGAGGAATAGTGTGCTATTCATAAATCATAAATGGTGAATCCAGATACCTCCACTACTGTGGTAACTGAATGTAAATCTCTTTTACCCTCTAAACCATCCTTCTGAGATATTCCACCAAATGGCATCACTCTTTCTTTGACTTTTCAGCAACTAAAGCTACACTCTTCTTTATTTTGAATTAAGTTGCCAAACTCTGTTGCCTATTTCATGGTCTGGTCCGACTGGCTGTCTTTGTAGTGATTTTCAACAGACATATCGCCTTACGAGTTATGACCATTGCTACTATCCCTACACAGTGAATGATAGAACTGAATTAGTTTCTGATTCTAGATGCCTTTTTAATTTTTATAATGAACCTAAGCTTCTGTAGCATGTATTGTTATTCCCGAGTTTTATGCCATGCTTCTCTGGCTTTATCATCTGCCGTTTTATATGTTTGTTTAGAAGGTAATGATTTTCTGAAGAGATTGTACAATTACATATCCACCTTGCTGCTTGAATGTTGTACTACCTGCTGCCACGTGCACATTGGATTGTCAGCCTAGCAGTAAGTCAACATATCAGGAAGTCATTGTATCCAAATTTGCTCAGCGATTTTTATGTGGAAAAGTGATAATGTAATTATATCTGTTTTTAAATCCACATTTGTTTTGAGGTTGTGCTCATGGTGTTCAGTTGAATTTAATGATAAAAAATGATTTTTGGTTGAAGTTTAGAACATCTGAATCCCCTGTGTTGACTTTTAGCAATTCAACCTGCATTCCTTGTTTCCTGACATTGAATCTGTTTTTTTTTTTGGTTTGGGGGGCTGGGGGTGTGGTGGGGGTTCTTACAGGATTTTGCCTCCCACACTGGAATTGAGGTTTTTTCCCCTGTCAGCCATACTTTATTTGACCCCAGGGAAGTCATTAAAAAGGTAAATATATTTGGAGCTGTGGATTTTTCGTTCACTTTAAATCATATATCTGTCTTCAAAATTCTGCTTATCATTTGAGCTTCAGTGCTTTGTTTCTTTCATAAATGACTAGGTTCATCTTGTAAGGTTGATAACTTTAAAGTAAACAAATATACAAGGCAAAAAAAAAAAAAAACTGTAGAAGATGGTTGTCTTGGCTACTCCTATAAGTAGGATCTTGTGATTGTTGAGATTTCTTTTGATAAATGTGGCTTTTGACTTAACATGGAAAATGAATCCTCTGAATCCTTGACTAGATAAAATTGGGATGTTATTATTGTTGGCTGTCATTCTCAAAACAATTTCTTCAAGTTGACAGATACAAATTGGCACTTTAAGGTGTACCTGTGAATTTCTGTTTCTTGCTTAGTAGATTCCAGCTACTTAGCTGAAAAAGGATTCTAAAGCATACATAATGATTTTGATGTTCATGACTCCTTCGTTTATTTGTCTGTTATTATTTTATATTTATGAAAACTAAATTGGAATATGCTTTCTCCATTCCTGTCCATAACTCATGACTTTTTTTGTATCCAACAACATCAGCAAGAAATCATGAGAAAAGGAATTCATGGTAAGTTTTTTATTATTGTCTACAAGCTGGTGGTGTAGCTAGAGCTGCTACACTTTGGGTATATGGTTAAACTGTTTCCATGTCATCAAAATTTGCTAACACAAAATTGCATTTTATAAGACTATATATGTGTGTTGCTTGTTACTGATAATGAGAAGCTGCTCCAGAATGCAATTTGGGACTATCAACCTTTCATCTATTGCTATGATTATTCAATATTGACCAATCCGTTATGCTTTCTTTAAGTGTAGCCTGCCTAGTGTGAGTTATCTACAAATTTATTGGTATCATCTCTTGGCATTAATGCAAATCCTTACTATTAAACAGAATGGCGGAAAGCCACCATTGACCTATCAATCTTTCTTAAGGATTGTTGGCATACCTTCTCCACCACATGCCAATACAATATCTTCACTTCCTCCTTTGGGAAATATTGAGGACTCTGAAGTGTCTAATGTTCCTACCATTGAAGAACTTGGATATGCAGATGTGAAACAGGTCGTGATCAACCTTATTGTGAAAAAATTGAATAATTGTTGCAGTTGATTTTTGTTAAGCAGTTTTGTTAGGCAAATGATGTGATTCATCAATTTGTTTTGCAATATATATTTCTTTGCAGGAAGAATATTCCCCATTTCGTGGGGGTGAATCAGAGGCACTAAAGAGGTTGAAAGCATCACTTATGGATAAAGTAAGGACTTGTCTTTCATAAGAGGATCGATTCAGCACAACTCATTTAAGAGTAATACATGCAGTAAATAAATAATTTCTCTTGTTACTCTTTACTGAAAATGAGCTCACGATAGACAATATATGTGTGCCACATAACTTTGGATTTCCTGCAGGAATAATAGAGCTCTATGAATCATGCAAGCAGTATTCAACAAAGAAAAATGTTTTCTGGGTAGTTGATGTGATGGATTTGGTTTGGTATTTCCTTTGTGGAAGTTGCTTCCATAATCATGTTATGGTAAAAATTGAGATATATGTACAATTTGATGCATAAGAAAAGGTTTAACTACTCACTTGGTTCAGATAAATGACCCCAGTTCTTTTGGACAATTAAAAAAAAGAAAAAGATCAGTGGACAATAATGCCCCTCAAGACATCATATGTAAATCACTTTGTGACATTCTATTTGTACATGAGATGGTAGCGTGGGAACTAGTTGAATATCATTCACAAAGCGCTTATTTTGAGATATTATATATGATGATAACCAAGAGATATTATATGTGATGATAACCAAGACTGCAATGTGCATGCTAGTGGAAATGTAGGTGTTCATTATGGCCTGTTGTTCTGCAATTGACCTTAGTGGCAAAAGAACTATGGAGTATTTCTACTTAAGTAATTATTTAAAACTCATTTATTTTTTATTGACACAATCAAGGCGGTGTTTGCTTGTTGCTTTGCTTTATTAAGTGGTGCCTGGTATCTAGGGCAAACTTGTAAGTCAATCAATTGTTTTTGAAATGAATACCGTAAGGTGATTGTTTTTCAAACATAATTCAATATGCTCCTTTCGAAATACTGGTCTTGTATCGGACATACATCCACAACTCCCGATTCACATGGTTTTTCTATGAAAAAATAAGTATATATACTTCTTCCTGTCATATTTACCAAAGAGTAATAGTTTTCTCATCAAGAATGTTGGTAATTAGATACCAGTTAGAAATGATCATCATTGATCTTTTACTCCCCCAACAGTGTTAAAAAACTCAGGCGAGTCGATTGATACTCGGTCAAGTAACTTGGCCTTGGCCTACTGTAGAGGCAAGTTCTAGTGCCCAACTCATCTGTGTTAAGAACTCTTGAAAAATCACAAATTTTATTAAAAAATTACTTATATGATTCAGAAATTTGTCCTTATATTTACATGATTTTCCTTAAAAATATGTTCTTATGTGATATTTCTATTACATGTTCCTAAATGATTTTTCTTATTACATGTGCCAAGTTTTTGTTTTTCCTTTTTTTTTTTTTCTGAAATATTGCAAGGTATAAATCAGAATTTTCAACAAACCATCATTTATATACTATTTTCATCTTTTATAGACATTTAATAACTTCTATCATTTGTTTTTACTGATCTTTAATTATAATTTCTTCGCATGTTTTAGGCTTGTTTAGGACTCAGTTGAGTAACCCAATTTTGGCTAGAGCTGAGTCCAAGGTCTGAGCCTAGTTTTAAAACATTAACCCCCAGCATTGAGAAATATGAGTGAAAAAATTGTTCTAAACTATAGATATGGATTTTTAGCTTTCAGCACACAATTTTAGAATGATCCATCTAATTATGACATGACATGTTAAATCTCTCTTGTTGATACCCAAACCCATTCCAACTTGGGGAAGAGATCCAAGACCTAATGGTAAGATGTAATTATTATGTGTATCTTGGTCTTTGTTTTTATTCTAAAGAAATCTTTACTTCCTACCCCCATATTGTAAGCCTCCTTTCATAAAACTTAATTTTTTAAAGAAATATTGAATAAACTATGTCATTTTAATTTTTTTCAACAAATCCCACACGGATTTTGAAAATGTATTTGGATCAAAATACCCCTCACAAAACCAAAGAAATGCAGGATAAAGGAATCATTGAATTTATAAAAAACTTGCAAAATTATACATTAAATACTAAAGTCATAACCAAAGAGAGATCTACTGAGAGTTGCAATTGTACAAGCATATACCACAAAATGAGTTATTTCTCCTATAAAGTTCTGGTCTTTTTGGTTTCGCATCAGCCACAAAACCACCTTCCATTGTTGAACCTTTGCAAGCTTTTTCTCCTCTTTATATGTGGTCTCTATATACAGAAAAAAACCCCCTAAACCCAACTTTGTTTTTAAAAACTCTAACCACAATTAACTTCTATCCATTCGTCTATTTGAATTAAACTTCGAAATTTACCATTTGATATTCTACAACTAAAAAAGACCTAGATACTCTAACTTAAATAAATAAAAGACTATATAACCTAAACCTAATTTTACTACTTAAAAACATAGTAAAAGAGATAAATAAAAAACCATTATAAACCCATTAAAGACAATTTATTTTGGGTCTAATGAAAAGATTTTTGAGACATACTGTGTAGAGCCTGAAAGAGTGTATACTCTCTCCCCCTTTATTTTTGTTTTTATTATTGTTTGTTTTTGTTTTTGGCCTATTTATTACATCACAAAAACTCTCAAAGATCTTAAAATACTTTCTAGGTCAAATCCCAAATCCCTCTTAATCCAAAGAAAAGAACTTTGTTACAACAGTCACTGTACAGATTCGTCTTATTCTTGAATGTTGGATTAAGAAACCTGAAAAACTCAACAAAAAGAGACAAAGAAGGGAGGAAAGTGAAGGGAAAAAGGGATTTGAGGGAAAAATATGAGCCCTAGTGACATATAAAACTACAAATCAATGGGATTTAAAGTCACATGAAAAATGACAGTTTGTCTTTTTTATCCAAGAGAAGAGGGAAAATTCAAAAGTTTTAGGAACTATTTTAAGGGGAATTTTAGGGGGGACATTTTTCTTTCTTTTATGCTATTGTCTTCATTTTATTTTAGCATTGTGAGATAGTTTTTTTGGTCCAAAAACACTTAAAAAACAAGTGGGTGGTTTTTAAGAAAAATTAAAATTATTGGATTTTATATTCCAAAAAAGATCTGGTTTTTTTCCATAGGCGGACTATAATTTGGGGATAGGAGATAGATTTCCTTTTATTCAATTTGTATGAGTATTTGTGTCATACCATTTTTACAGGTATTTGTGATCTTATACACCCTAGTCAATCATACCTGTCATATTCCTCATTTTGGTTAATGAGAATTCTGCACGGTTGTGATTCAAACATTGGCTTGAGTGGTTGTAATGTGGATGATTACGACAATGTCATAGAATTTACTTCCACCAATGATATAACACCACGCTTCCATTGCGCAATACACATACACCACTCAACCCTTCAAAAAAAAAAAAAGAAAAAAAGAAAAAAGAAATTCGCACACCTTCTTTTTAGATCTGCTATTCAAGGCCTCACTTTGGTTGCACATATATCACATGTGAGACCCAAAAATTGAGAAGTAAATAAGGACAATTCTCTTTTTTGTAAAAAGGTCACAAGTGTATTTCTTGCAGTCCAAATTTCCCTTCAAATCATATAAAATTGTAGTATTGCAAACTTTTCATGGCATGCAGAAAAGGAGATCAGGGGTTGCAAATTTTGCTGAGTCCTGGGGCTGAACAACTTCTCCAAACATGGGTTCAGATGATCAATTAGAAGGGAGAACAATGCATTGCAAATTTTGCACGGCATGCAAAAACAAGTTTAGCTATAGGATGCGACTTTATTCTCCAAACTTCTGTCTGGAATTCTCAAGGATATGGGGAACTACGAATTCTTTCTCATTCTTCTACTAGTGTTACGCACCTTGAGATTGGCTCACAATATGAAAATCAGCTTCAGCAGAATGCCCCGGAGGAACTTTATGTTCATATGAAACTTTTAATCTCATTATTTAGTTATTTACCTATTCTTTTTTGATGGTCTAATAATGGTGAGGACCTTAAACTTTCCCTTAACCCGTCCCTAGCTTGGGTAAAAGAGGTGGATTGTGTTGGTAGGTAGCCACCATAAAACTTTGCCACATCTTATCACGAATCCTGAACCTATGCTTTTTGTCTTATTAAGAGTATGACCCTTGATAGAGAAGAATGGAGGAATAAGATTCATGTAGCCAAGCCCAAATAATCGGGATAAGGCTTGGATGATGATGATGATAATGATTATAGTATATTCTAGAGCACAAAGTTGGGGCTAGTAATGTGTTAACAAAGTTCTTTGGAGATTTTGTATTATCAGCTGTAGCATAATGTTAAGTGGTTTAGATCCTTGTCCCTTATCTTTTCACAATCTGTAATTGGGATTGTGTCATCGTAACAACTTGAACCTTCTCGATTTAAGTTAATTACCTTGGTGGAAGGTTTCTTCTTTTTTCCGACGTTACTACCATTTTCACTAGTTTTACGTTAGTTGATTAAATGTTCTGATGCTCCCTGAAGATGCAATATTGTATTGATCTTTACTATGACACTCTAGATATCATGGATTTATTGCATTACTATATTTTTATATTTGCTTTTTGTGCTAAGTATTTGTTACCTTCCACTTATTTTATCTGTCTTAACTCTTATATATGAGCTTGATGTTTGGTTTCTTTCATGGCTAGCAGGACTGGGTTGCAAACTTTGAGAAACCAAAAGGGAAGCCTACCTCCTTTGAAAATCCAGCCACGACTGTCTTGTCACCATATTTGAAAGTGAGTAACTACTCCTCTAATTACTATACTCCTGTCATTGCCTATGCCTCTATTCCTCTAGTCTTCTCTGAGTTACCTCCAATTCAAACATTGAGTTTTCCTCATATATAGGCTCCAATGTACTATTACTTCATTTGCAGTTTGGTTGTCTTTCATCAAGGTTATTTTACCAAGGCCTCCAAGATGTCTTCAAGGAGGTCAAGAAGCATACTTTACCACCAGTCTCACTTGTCGGACAGGTCAGGCATTTTGTCTACTCGTGGATTCTTGCCTCTAAGTTGATAATATGTATTCATCAAATGTTAAACTTTTATGCAGTTACTATGGCGAGAATTCTTCTATGTTGTAGCTATTGGCACTCCCAATTTTGATCAGATGAAAGGGAACAAGATATGCAAACAGGTAACTGTGTTATCGATTTTGCTCTGTCTCACTTTCTATGGTTTATTTAATGGCATAAGAATGTGGTCTCTTTATTGGCCTGCCATTATATTCATTTTGAGAAGTATCTTTGAATATGTATGGTACTTTCAAGTTCTAAGGAAGTGTTTCTCATTGTGGATAAATGAAAAGAAACTAATTGAGGATTACTTTCTAAATCGGTTATGGCAATATCATTTTCTATACTATGATGTTTAATGAGATATTTGTGAGAAGTTTGTCCTGTGTACGTCCTTTGAGGGGTGCTTATTGGAAGGTATGAACTTTTCCTAGTTAACTGCACAAGTACAAACACGACACTTCAGTCTGGAAATGTATTTAATATTAAATATCATCTGGAAATATATTTCAAATTATTTTATTAATCAAGTAAAGGTGTGGTTAGGCTTTTGAATTTTGTTGCTATGCATAATAATTTGGAGTTACAACTTCGCATAGGAGAAAAATTGAGACCCAAAATTTCAGAAATACTTCTCACAGGGTTAATTAGAAAGCCGTAGGGTTCCTACAGCATCAGACTATATTACATGAATTGTTTTATTTGGGTTCCTTACCTATGTCGGACACAAATGGAGACATAACGACACGATTCTTCAACATTCTTCTGCTTGTTCACTGAGCATTGATTACATTATTTTAGAATATTGAACTCTTTTTTTGTTTTCAGTAGACACATGAAATTTGAAAATATGTATTAATTTAGTCAACAAAGGAATACTTGAATTTTTTGGCTCCTTAAAGCAATATGGAATTATAAATAAACAATGTTGGACCTTATTCTCTTTATAATATAACTCTGATGACTAATCCTATTCTTCGTGGCATGAAGACTGATGCCTTGGACCCATGTTTGACACAAACACAAGTGTGTCCATGCAACATAGCATGCACCTACTAAATATGAACATGCATGCCCTATATTATGGATTTCTATCACAATCTTACTGTGTATGCAGCCATATTTGTAAACCCTATGTTGCTGTTTAACATCTTGTGAAGGCGAATTTTACAATTATTCAATTCCACCAAATTGTTCCCTCATCCGGCAACTTTTCGCAATTCTTCAAGGTTCATGAACATAGGATTTCCCATGGACTTGTTAGAAAGGCTTATGTACAGTTCCATTCTTGTAAGAGCAAAATGATTCCTTAATTTTCCAATTACAATCCTAACAAACCATGCATGCATGTACAGATACCTTGGAGTGGTGATGATAAACTGTTTATTGCTTGGAGAGAAGCGCAGACAGGATATCCTTGGATTGATGCTGTGATGGTTCAGGTGAGTTACTAATAGATGGTGTCTTTAAATTTATTCCTTTGTGCTTTGTCATATTGCGTATTTGCGTAGATGAGTGCAATTCTCATAACTTGTTTGTATTTTTACACTGTTTTTTTACTCTCTTTTTTTTCAATTTTTGCATATTTCTGTTGTAGCTCCGGAAGTGGGGTTGGATGCATCATCTTGCCCGCCATGCTGTTGCATGTTTTTTGACTCGTGGGGATCTGGTATATTCATGTTAGCTCATCATCTCTACTATCTTCCATTGTAGTGTTAGTCCAATAAAAATTTTATATAAAATAAGTTAAATAATGTGAAGCATTTATTCTGTTTTCCTCTTAATGAAATGCATATTTCTTGTAGTGCTGATTCTGTTGGTATGCCAGTTGGTTATTCTTAATCTTATGTGGATGTGTTCAAAGTTTTCTTTGAAAACTTCAAAACTCTTCATCAACCAGGTTTCTATATCATTAATGCTGGAGTAAATGTGTTAGATTGGTTTCAACTTTTTCAGTTGGAAAGAAAGCTTGAGCTTTTCTAAGAGAGGTTGTTGAGGCTTCTCCTTTTTTCAATAAGTAAGAGGTTGCTAAGACTTTAGACCTTAAATTTTTGATACTAAATTGAATATTACTTGAAAAAGAAAGAGCACCAGGACTTGTTATAAGGAAGCTTAAATATATGTATAGAATGGACAACTAACCAACATTAGGAAAAGAATTTGTAAAATTATGTCACTCGATTGATGTAATGGTGTGCCTTTGTATTTTCATATCTGATATTATTTTATAATTAATGTGCACAATTTATTGGTGTATCTTTTGTCAATTTACTCTAAATTTGTTGATGTATCTTCACAAAACTACTTGTATGTTCTTTTTAATTCCTACTAATGTAAATTTATTCCTTTTCCCTTTAGTTTGTTCATTGGGAAAAGGGCCGTGATGTTTTCGAGAGATTACTCATTGATTCAGATTGGGCTATAAATAATGGTAATTGGTTGTGGCTTTCGTGTTCATCATTCTTCTATCAGGTTCGCCACTAACTATTCTGCAAGACTTTTCTTTATTGAATTTCCCAGAGTTACTATTCTGTAATATATTTTGATAACATCAAATATTCTCGATAACAAGCAACAGAAATCTGATGGGTTTCTTTACGGGATGGTGTGACCTTTCAGTATAACCGCATATATTCTCCAACCTCCTTTGCAAAAAAGTATGATCCTAGTGGAATTTACATTCGCCATTTTATCCCTGTTCTAAAAGGTGAGAAGCTTTTTTTTCCATTTGGTGAGCTTGTCCATGGATGAAACATTCCACCACGCGCATTCTGTGCATGGTGCATGGTACACAACATTAATATCCACCTTTTGTTCTCAAGTCTAAATAATGTTTGGTGGATGTCCACCAGAGTTCTTGATGACCTATATTACTTGTAATGCTAATCTCGATCATCCATCATTGAGAATGAATGGTGGATACCTTGGTTGTTTACAACATATGACATCCTTGTCATAAATTTCTTGACGCTTTCTTATTTAATGATCCTCACATTATTTTGATGCCTATAACAAGTAACAGATATGCCTGAAGATTATATATATGAGCCTTGGACTGCACCGTTGGAAGTCCAGATCAAAGCAAACTGTGTCATAGGAAGAGATTATCCAAAACCAGGTCAGTCTAATATATTATGGATTGAAACTATGTGATTAATATACCCATTCACATAGGGGTGGGAACGGGTCGGGTATGGTCCGAGTCCATCTAGACCTGGACCTGAATTCCATACATGTTACCCGGATCCAAACCAGAATTTATTTAGAGGATCAGTACCGGGACCCGACATATTATACATAGAAAAAATAAAAAAATAGTTAAGAATTAAAAAATTACCTAAAAACATGTACCAAAAAATTACTAAAAATTATAGCTAATAAGAAGATTTGGGCAATAATTCATCAAATTTCTTATTTTAAGACTAATAAGAAGATTTCCAAAGAAAAATGAAAAATTTATATATTATTTTAATATATAT